GTTTTTTTTTTTTTTATTTTATTTATTTTTTAATAGTGTTTTGACACTAACATTATTCATGTATGCTGCACACCATGAGGCCAGAACTTCAACTTAGATATAGTTTGAATATCCTGTCTGTAGATTGGGATCGAATATAATCATTTGAAGTTACTAAACTTGTCGCATTATTTTACATGATGCCTATATTTTGTTGTTCATAATTGGAAATGGCACTGCCTTTTGGGCTTGACATTGCTGTGTAGGACATGAAGTTACTACCAATCCTTCAGCATTGTTTTCCTTTGTGTGTGTGTGGGTGTGTGAAAACAAAAGTAATTTGTATTTGTCATTTCATATTGATTTCCAGAAGGCTATACACTTGTGGATCTCCACTGACTTTGGCAGTTGTAATTTGTAATTGCAATGGGATAGAAATTGGCAGTTGCAACTTGTAATTGTCCTTGACATTTCAACTTCTACCCAATTTTAGTATGACTTAACCTGACAAGTTGTAAGTTTATCATTATCATCAAACTTTTGCAGATAATTCTTAGATATTTTCTGTCAAATCGCAAACTAATCCCTGAACTGCAAAAGAAGGACAGGCTTTTGAGTGTATTTTCCCCAATTAGTTTGTGATTGAAACTTTGAAAGTGGGAATTGTTTGTAAGCTTTATTTGACTCTACTGTACTTGGTGCTAGGGTTGTAGCCTTGTACAGTCATATGATTAACAAAAGATTGCTTGCATGTAAAGTGATAACTAAGCTGGTCACATTGAAATGAACTAGATCATGCTGATAATGAACTCTTTAATTCCCATTGGGTAATATCTTTTTCTTTATGATTATTGTTAGGTTGACAGAAATAATCCCAATTTTGTTCCATCTGCCCTAAATAATGCCAACTTTGAATTATTTTTTAATAATCCTAACTTTATACTCCATTTGCTCAAAACAGTCCCAACCAGTCATCTAACTTGTTATTTCAAATTACCAGACACGTGTCATCCTACTATAGGTTTAAAAAAATAAAAAGAAAAAGAAAAAAAAATTAAACATCAGCCTTCAACCCAGCCACCGCAAGTCCCAGGCACCGGCCGCTGCCCAATCACCTCCCCCCTCCCTTGCGCCGGCGCCGCTCGGACCATTCTCCCCTTTCCCGTTAAACCATCATCCCCTCACCCCAAAACCCCCACGAAACAGCCTAAAAACCCTTCTCTAGATTGAAAAATCTAACTCTAGATTAAAAACACAAAAAACCCAGAAAAATAAAAAAAAAAATCAAATATTATCAAATATGAAATGTTACCGTAGTAATGAAAATCGCAACGTAGGAAATGGGCATTGATTGAATAATAATTTCGATCGGATTTTCAATCTAGGGATATATTTTTCTTTTGGGATATATTTTTCTATTTGAGATGGTGGTTTAAGGGGAAGGGGGAGGGCTGACGCGCGGGAGAGGGGTAGGGGCGGCACCGGCGACCGTGGGAAGCTGGGTCCGGCGCAGGCAAAGGGAGGGGGACAGGGTGGCACCTACCGGAGGGGGTGGCTTGGCAGTACGGGGGATTGAATTGGTGGTTTTTTTTTTATTATAATTTTAATTAAGTTTTTTTTTTTTAATTTTTTTTTGACCAATCACGTGAGGACACGTGTGCATTAAACCTTAAAAAAAAAATTACATGTTCAATAGGTTACCGGGTCACATGAGACTGTTTTGAGCGGATGAAGTATAAAGTTAGGATTATTAAAAATTAATCCAAAGTTGGGATTATTAAAAAATAATCCAAAGTTGGGATTATTTTGGGCGGACGGAGCAAAGTTGGGATTATTTTTCCGAATGTTTCCTTATTATTATTACAACAAAGCAGAATTACATAATTTTTCTGCTCTATTTGATACTTTAACTATTGTAAATTTGTAAGTCCTTTGAAAGAAGTTGCATTGTCCAATGTCTTTTGAACACCATCAGAAGCCGAATACTGAATTTTAAGTCAAGGATCACAAAATGTCCATGTTTCACATTATTATTGTTTTTCATTGTATATATTGCTTATTGCTATGATATGTATATCCTTCTAGAAAATACTTCCAAGGGAAACTTTTATTGAGAGTCTACTCAGCATACTTCCATCTGAATGATTTTTCTCTACTATTTTGAACAAAAAGCAGATTAATTTTGAGATAGATGTATTCTAGTAGCATTATGTGATTTTAGAACATAAAGATTATTTTATACAACCAAATATTTCAGTACCATATTCCTATTTCCTATTATATCTTACTGCATATGACATGATTTTGGCAAAATTTATTGACTTCTGATATTTGAATTTACGTGTACCACTGTGATTTGGTAAGCTAACTGTGGTAAAATACTCTATCAATTGTGGTGTGGATCACTGAGCGACTAAGCGTATGTTTAACTTTTATTCAGTGTTCTCTTGTTGCTGGTCGGCTTACTTCCAGTGTTTCTTCAGTTACTTGGATAATTGTGGGTGGATCTTCAGCTCATGCTGTTGTATTGCTTTGGATTCTTCTTAAGTATAGGTAAATGTCCTACTTGTATAGATATCTGTTCTATTGATCGATTATAATATCTGACACTTAATGTACACAACAATTCAGCACAAGTAGTGGAGTTCTTGGGATGGTTTATCCACTCTTAATGGCCGCAGCATTGGGCATTGGTGATGGTGTGATGATGACACAAATCAATGCTCTATTGGGAATGCTCTTCAAACATGACATGGTAAATGTTTTTCTCTATTATTGGAAAGTATATCTTTTGCAATTGGCTTCAAATGACCAATAATATACCAATATGAGCCTCATAGTTCTCTGTATATTCCTAGTTCATGTTGGTAGATGTTTTGTCTCAGGTTGAAGTTATATTAGTGGAATATTCATACCAGCATATCTGATATTATGTACTGCACTGTGCATATGTTTATAGAAAAAAATTTCTTCCTCTAGAGTCGGTCGCAATGCCTCACGTGAGGTATTTACCAAATCTCAAAAAGTACAATTTTGGTACCGAAAAATTTTGGTACAAAAACCACATATTTTGTTACGAAAAAATTGGTACAATAAATATTACTCCCTCCGTCCCCGATTGATAAGTCACTTTTGAAGAAAAATCACGGGAATTAAGGAGAATTAAAAAAGTACATTGAAAAAGTAAATTTACATTGGGTATGCAAAAAAGTGGAGAGATAAAGTAATTTAAGTACATGGGAAAGTAAAATTTACATTGGAAAGTTAAATTTGCACAAATATTTTTGCAAATGTTAGAGAATTTTGGTAAAAAAATAATAATAATGGTACTTGAAAAAAACAAATGTGACTAACATTTGGGGTGCCCAAAAATGACATAAGTGACTATCAATCGGGGACAGAGGAAATAATTTTGGTACAAAATTGTGATTGCTTGATATTTTGATACCAAAATTGTACCACTTTTTCTTTCCTAACCACCATGTCCACCCCTTTACCTTGTCCTACCACCATTCAACCACCATCCCAACACCAACCTGCCCTTTTCATCACCAAACCACCACCATCTAACCATTGTGTAAGGCACAACCATACCACCACCCACACAAACATGTTATCCCTATGCTCACACAAGCATGGATTGGCAAATGCACTTAATGAAATGTGTCAACTAAGATGAGATAAGTATCTTTTCTTAACAAAGTGCTTTAAGAAATATATGGATAGGGCTTAGCTTTTTCTTACTTGCTTATTTCTGTTAAGTAAATCCACATAGTTTTTCCCTTGGGCCGATTGAATGATACTAAAACCTATTTTGTTGTTTAAATTCCTGTAAATTCTAATGAAATTGATTACAGGAGGGAGCATTTGCACAGTTGAAGGTTTGGCAGAGCCTTTCCATCGCAGTTATCTTCTTCCTGACACCTTACATATCACTGCATATGATGGCTGCAATTATGCTTACTGCACTCTGCATTTCTTTGAGTACATTTTTTATCCTCACCCAAAAAGTTGTAAAAGCCTTGTAGGCTTCTCTTCTCATCTTCAGTAACCTGTACAATTTGCTGATGCAAATATAAATTTCATCTCTTGTATAGTTCATACTCCCTGATGAAAAATGTCCCCTTTATAATACATATATTCATTGCTCTCATCTTCATAAAGGCATAGTTATTGAACATTGTGTTTAAATTTATAGTCCAAATGTATTTTTTTTTTCCTAAAGGAAAAATACTACCTCCGTTAACTTTTAGTTTTAACTTGGGAATATTTTGTATCTCATAAATGATACCCCAAAGTTGCAACTAAAAGTTAACGGAGGTAATATCACGACTTACAAGTAACAGTTATAGGGTGAATAGTGCATATTACAATGGCATTTTATGTAATTTTGTGTAAAATGACTAAAATCACATGTATTGGGGGATAATTTTGGAAGTTAATTTCCACATGATTACAAAAATATCAAGTTATTTACAATATGATTTACTTTTTTAAGGAAAAATTGTGACAACGCACATATTACTCCTCGAGCATTCTGTTTGTCTCCCCTATCCCTCTTCATTTCTGATCTTTTTGCTTGTTACATAACAAAATTATAAAAGTTAGCATATATGCTCCATTTTCCGGTGAGAAAGTCAACTTTCCGAACATTGACTTTAAATGACAATTACTATGTACACGACGAGCTGAGCTTTGATGGCCACGTGTCAGCGTACAAGTCAGGTAGAAAACACAGTAGTACAGTGAGCAGTTGATCAACAAACCCGACCAACCTAATATTCAATTCTATAACGTAACGTCATCTTCCAATTCCACCAATACAAACTACTTTGTACAAACTAGTATTTCCTCAAATTACACCATCTATTTATTCTGTTTTGAATTAGTTAAGCAACTAAACTAATACAACCATATACTATATAGTTTACACAATAAAACCTTATATTTATGCTCCTTCAATTCAATATCATTATTCCTCATCTTAAGTCATATTTCCTCTAACATAACTTCCTACAACAATGCCTATTTCCCTCTTGATCACCTCTACTCTTTCACAATTCTTGAGCTCGTGGCGTCGTCCAATGATAATATATGCTGGAGTGTGGACACTCCTTCTCACGGTGACTGTGGCGGTGGCGGCCTTAACCCCGGAAACTACCTTTATATGGGCTATAACACCAACATCACCGTTTTCAACTGCTTGTAAATCAGAAGGTAGCTTAAGGGTACCGGTAGACCTTCCATCGGATGTCGTTTGCTTGCCGGCGAAGTACTTTCAACGTTCAAAGATTGATCTTTTTGTGTCTCCAATATTTGCTGCTCTTGTAGTTGCTAGCTCTGCTTGTGTAGTCAGAAGTTTTGGCATGTGATTCTGTTTAAAAATGTTAATGAATATCTTGGCAAATGAATTTTTCTTTTTTTTTTTTTTTTTTTTTTTTTTTTTTGGCGAGCAACATATTTTTTTTGGTAATTAACCCTTAATTTGCACGGAAAAAAATATATTCCCTCTGTTTCTAAATATAGTTTTCATTTGACTTATTTGAGTCAAAATTTGAAGGCTTTGACCATAAATTCTTGTTACTTTATAAGAAATTATAGTTGGGATCTTGTAGGATTCCCACATTTTATATTTTACTAATATCAAGTTTTAATATTTACGTGTATGAAAATAGAAATATAAACGCTTTAATACACGTCTTGAAGATCGTGGAAAGTCAATTGGAAACCGTATTTAGAAATGGAGGGAGTGGTACGGATTACCAATTTTTTTTTTGACATAAACACATCTTCATTGTTCAATTATATAAAAGGCTTAAATAGAATATAGTGAACTTCCTAAAAAAAGCATATATAATAAACTTCAATTTAATATTCTTCCTCCATTATTTGTTAACTGCAACAATTACTATATTTGGATGTTAAGCTTTAATTACAACAAAAAAATTTCTTTCCTTTTTTGGTAAGTTTTCTTTACCGAAATGACGAATATACCATCACTTAAAAATTATTAACACATAATACTATATACAATTACAAATCATTATAATCCCAATATAACTTAATTAAAATCAGATTCATCCCCATTTCCCATTATCTTTCTCTATCCTCCTTCATTCTCCATCTTCATCTCTCATTTTCCCAATTATATTTCTCTCCCCTCCTTCAACTATTCTCATCAATTGATGAAGAAGATCACCTTTTAGTTATTCAATTTCAAATCTGGGTTTTGGGGGTTGCACAAGTGCTTCGTGGGTGGTGGTTTTGTGGGTTGGTGGTTTGTGGGTTAGGTGGTGGATTGTGGATTTGGTTTCGTGTGGGTAAGCTAGGTGGTGGGTTCGTGGGTTAGTGGTGGTGGTTCGAGTGGGAAGCTAGATGGTGGGTTTGTGGGTTTGTGGTGGTACGTGGGTTCGCGTGGGTAAGCTAGGTGGTATGTTCGTGGGTTTGTGGTGGTGGGTTCGCGTGGGTAAGCTAGGTGGTGGCTTCGTGGTAGATTTGGGTTTGCGTGTGTAAGCTAGGAAATGGATTGGGTTCGTGGTGGTGGTTCTAGGTTCGTGGGTGGTGGTTTCTAGGTTCGTGATGGTGGGTTCATGGGTGGTTTCTAGGTTCGTGGTGGTTTATGGTTTCGTGTTGGTGCTTGGTGGTTCTGTTTAATTGTGGTGGTTGTTTTTGTTGATTTAATATTAAGTACATACCCTTACTTTTCATTAATCACGGTTAAGAAATTTTACCTTGGGTTCCGTGCACACCCCCTTTGTTGCAATTAACAATTAACAATTAACGGAGAAAATAAGTTTTTTGGTACTTGTAGGAGTCGTTTGAAGTGCGCCTACGTTAAAGCATGTGTGAATATGCTTGGCACTCATAGGAAGTGGGAATTGACATAATACGATTAGGGACAAGAAAAAGTAGGGAGCCGCCAACAAGTTTTTAAGGAATTTGTAAACCGTTAACGGATCATTTAAGGCAACCACGATTAAGGGACAACGAAAGGCAACAACAACTGACCTGTGAGGTTACTAACTCCATATGGTTCAGAACCACGAAAGGAGGATCGGGGATGATAGTACGAAGTGAATCATGGAGTCACGTTCACATGTATTGGCCTCTAATCGATTCTTATAGTAAAAAGTGATTCTTGCGATCTCAAAGGCATGCAAACAAAGATTCAATTTGCTACAAACTATTATTAAGTTTAATTGGTTGAATATTAATGCAACACATAATTCTAAAATATCACTCGATTAAATAACAAGATTAAAAAGAAACCTAAACCGATTGTCCAAATTATCTTATTAAGCGTGATTTTCAATTACATATTCCCTTTAAACATGCAATGTGGTGATCATAATAACAATAGAATTAACATTAATATTGGAAGCAATTTAACAATAATCCAACATTATAAAATCGTTAGAAAAATAATAGAAGTAAAAGGAACATAATTCTTACTTTGATTAAGCTTGCTTGCAACTATAAAACAATAAACGAGTTAGTAACTTCAAGGAAATAAATAAAACAATAATTAAAATCAAATTAAACAGAGTTGATTTGGGGCCAAACCCTCAAACAGTTCTACCTTTCACGCCTTGGTTTAAGGACAGAACCTCGAGTAAAGTACGGACTCCTTGGAGTGCTTAAAGAAGGTATTTTAAAAGAATAAGGTAGGCTAGTGTTTAGGCTAGAGCATAGAAGAGAGAAGAAGGAATTAATTGATGCCCCGAACAACAGAAATGAGAGGGTATTTATAAGAAAAATGAACAGAGGGAACACACGGAACCCTAAAAAGATAAAAACCCTACAAAATACTATCACGACACGACAAAATATGTCGTGACACGGGGGAACATGGTGTCACGCGGGATAGTTTTGTTGTGACGCGGGAAATAATTAACCTACGGAAGATAAAACGGGTGAAGGATTTACGCCGAAAAAACATTGAATAGCCCCATGTCACGGGATTGGCACCGTGACGCGGGAAATTATATCGTGACACGGTGCAAAACCCCGTAGCGCGGTAACTGCTCCCATGACACGGTGGATTTTACTTCCATTTTTGATCCAAATTCACTTTTACCCTATTACGCTCAGCATTTTTAAGTGCCGATTCATAATTAATTGAGCTAAAGTAATAAATAATGCAAAATGAATAAAAAGATTTGGGCCAAAATAAAAAATTTGACTATGTTTTGATTAAACATTAAGACTGATTTTATGACCTGAGTTTGATTGACTATGAATTTTAATCACTCCTAGGTTTAAATACTCAACCCGACCAATAATGGCGGTGAAAAAATGTTCATCATCAGATTTGGATCCGGGGAGACATTTTTTTGTGTCTACAGAGGCCCCACTTTGATTGAGTATGTAGAAACATCAGTTTCGAAAACGATAGTCAAAGTAGTCGATAGGTACGGAGAATGATTTAAGACGTTCTGCAATCCTAAATCACTCTGTATACGACTATACGCCGATACCTGCAGAAAAATGTTAGTTCTACAGATAAAAGAATAAAGGGATAGAATGCTTATCTGACACCATCGGTGACAAATGAGTTTGGTAGCTTCCTATGCTTGAAGGAATCCGTCGGATGACGTTTTGTTGAGATACTTTCCATGCCTGAGGAAAGTTGACTGATGAGTTTGGTAGCTTTCTAAGCTTGAAGAAATATACCGGATGATACTTTCCATATATGCTTGAGGAAGGTCGACATATGAATTTGGCGGCTTTCTATGCTTGAAGAAATCCACTGTTAATACTTTCCATGCTTGAGGAAAGTCGACTGATGAATTTGGCGATTTTCTATGCTTGAAGAAACCCACCGATAATAAATACTTCCCATGCTTGAGGAAAGTCGCTAGATAATTTTGAAAGTTTTCTATACTTGAAGAAACCCATCGGTTGAGATACTTTCCATGCTTAAGGAAATTCGACATATGATGTGATTGCTGACTTCTTCGCTTTAAGAGGTGACAACGACTGACAATTTTCCATGCTTGAGGAAAAACTTGTCTAATGAGATTGCAAGTCTCTGTGTATTGAGAACCTTGCACCGTGAAATGATGGTGGTTCGATTGTCCCCGAATGTGGGCTGTAATTGGTTCGCTTACCCCGAACGTGGGTTGTAATTGATTCATACCTTCAAGTCGACTATCAGACCATGTTGGGTGTTTAAATGTCAAAAATGTGGCCTTGATGCTTGCTAGGGGTAAAATAGTAATTTTGGTACAATTTAAATATCAGTTAGAATTTTCCGCGTATTTTCGGTGAGAAAATAACTGTCCAAAAGCCGCGAAAAATCGTCCAAACTTGGTCAAAGATGCAAGGAATATTCGCTAGAGCTTCCAGGAGCGTGCAGGCCACGCGCCTTTGCATCGTGCCACATGGAAAATTGTCGTGACACTGCGTCATTTGCCGTCAGACGACATTTTTCTTTTTTTTGTTTTTATTTATTTTATTTATTCGTGCTGCTAAGTTGTTGAGAGATTTCGGGGGTGCACGCGTGTCACGTGGCTAAATGTTGTGACACGACAGTTCTTCCCGAGACGCGGCATATATTTGCGTGGCACGATAATTTTTTTTCTACTGAAATGGTCAGCGTACTGAAATGTTGCTCCCGTTGATTCGCTTGATTACCGCGTCACGTGGAGCTTTCCCGTGACACGACATGTGTCCCCGTGTCACGGTGCTCTTTTGGTGCCTTTAAAATCAAAAAACGGTAGCTGCTTCTTCCTATTTTCATTTTGCTGCTGCTCGAACCTTTTTGCTGTTCTTGAAGCTCATCCTTCTTGTTTTCTTTATTTTTTTTTAAATTTTCGTTCGAGTTATCGCACCGCAGCCTTCAGCATCGTGACACGACGACTTATACCGTACCGCGTTGCGGCATTCAGACACCGTGCCATGGTGAGTTTCCTGCTGCTGTTCGAGTTCTCCGCGATGAATCATAATGGAAATGAATTTATCAATATAAAGATGAATATTTTTTAGAAAAAAATTGTCAAAAATAAGCCAAACTTTGCATGATAAGCTCAAAATAAGTCATAATTTCGATTAACCCAAAATAAGTCGAATTTTTAGTAGTGTTTTCTTTTAATAAGTCCAATGACCTACAACCTACTAATTAAGTAATTTTTTTAATTAAAAATAATTTATAAAATGTTAAATATAATTACATTAAATAAACAAATTAAAAAAAAACTTTAAAAAAAAAAATCAATCCCCCATCCCCACCATCTCAGGGGTTGTTGCGTTCATTATAATTTTGTTTAAATGGAATTTCTAATTTTGGGTGTAAAGGATAATAACTTTCTCGATTTTGGGTGTTAAAGATCAAATTAATAATAATAATAATTATTTTTTTATGTAAAATCTT